GGGGGGGGCGCTTTGCCGCAGATACAGGTGAGTTTAGTGACTGATGGGCAGATAAACAGTCAAGTGCTGTGAATTGTGACAGGTCCCAAGCGCAGCTTTTAACATTCAGATGAAGGAGATGACATTGGGACAAAGAGAATCCTTTCAGCAGAGTTCAGTGTAACATGACAGCCTTCAGGAAGCTTGTTTAGCAGAGGAATGTAGCGATTTACTTAACTAGCTGATTGACTTAACTAGCTAGCGCTAGTTCTCCACTAGTTCTAGAGTGGAGCTTCCAGCAGATCAGCAGCTGTGCCGGCGCATGGTTTGAGCGACGGAGCCGCGGGGCGGGGGGGGGCGGGGTTCAAGAGCCATGTGTGACTCCAGAGCTGCGGGTTGCCAACCCCTGTTATCTGAACTACTTGGGGGTTTATAAAAATAAATACATGAATGAATAAAGGAATGCAAGACTTGAAGGCCCTTTGGTCTGGTGCTTCATGGCTCTTGTGCCCAGAACATGCGGCACCGGGAAGCTTTGGGCGCTGGCTGAAGGGCAAAGAAATTCCAGCTTGTTCACAATGTTCTCTTGAACAGCGGCCGTTTTTTGAACAGCTGTTAGGTGGATGCAAGTTTTCATTCACATCAGATTATGAGCATTATGTATATTCCTCAAAATCTTTGCTTTCTGGAAAAAAAAGAACATGTAGTGCAGAAGTCTGCGAAATTAGGCTTGAAGATGTCTTGGCCACAGCTCTTGCATAATTCATGTGGGCTATAAAATCCAATTTCTTCTGTGCAGAGGTGGGATTCTGCATCCGGCCCAAGAGCAGAGCATTCACACCTCTGATTGCCGCGTGCAGCACTCTATGGCAGCATTGTGGGCCAGCAGCAGCAGGAGAATTGCAGGTGTGTAGAGCAGTCCGGTAGCCTGCGCTGGCAGGAAATGAGTTTTCCCATCCAAACAAAGCATCACCAAGTAAATATGGGAGCCGAGACTTCTGGGATTATGCGTTTCTCTGTAATTTATCATTTTAATGCTCCCGATGATGAGGAAAGAGCTGCTTTCTTTCCTTTTACAAAGGAATCCGACTCAGGTTCTCACTTAGTAATGTAATTTGCCAGAGCTATTTAAGCTTCACATCTGTCTTAGTTGTCTTCACAGTTCTGAGAATAAATCGTTCTCATGGCCCCCGCCCCACACACACTTCCAGTGTGTCAGGAATCATAAACAAGAGCCAGACATTAAGGAAGACTCCGTTTGGGCTGCTGTATGCTGCAAGCTCAGAGAAGGATGGATCTTAGCATGCTAGAAAGTCGTCTGCAGCTATTTTTGGTTTGACTCCTTAATCATCTAGTGCAGATTTTGAGGTTGCAGAATGTGGTGAGGGGAGGCAAGAAAAAAACCCGTTGCCATGCATGCTAGAGTCCAAGGTGGGGACCTGGTCTGTGTGGGGAGGGCACTCTAGAAATCTCCAGGTCAGCAGTTTTGTTCCATAACTCATACGACTTGGAAGCTGTCGTGTGGGTTTTTTGTTTTTTCCTTCTTCAATTAGATGCTTAAGGGTTCACTGCTGCTTTAAACTGCTCGAAAGTCAGTTTCATTATCATTGCTTTCTCTTGTTTATATCCAGTTGTTCAGCCAAGTTTAGTTTCCACAGTGACTTGCTCTTAAAATCCACAGGAAGGTACAATATTTTGGTGTGCAGGTTGGCAGTCTCTTCTGGTCTGTAGTCACCAGTGGTACAATCCAGGTTCCAGCCTCATCTTTCCAAGAGGAGTCCAGATAGAATAGGAAGCTGGCTGGCGGTGATGATGCCCAGCCTTCAGCTGAGCTCATGGTTATGGTTCTCTCCCTCAGACTTTGTCAGTGTTCTGAGAGTGATTCTGTGTTAGTTCCTTTTACCAAGCTGCAGGCATCAGAGATGTTTGGCTGAGAGCAGCCATCCCCAGCCTGCCTTCAGAGACATTGGAACCACAACCAGCAGAATCCCCATCCAGCACAGCCATTGACTGGAAATTCTGGGTGTTGCAGTCCAAACATTTCTGGAAGGTTGGGGAAGGATGATTTAGAACCATGGCAGTTCCGAAAAGACCTGAAACTGGCTCCAGATTTGACATGTGTTTGTGTCTGTGCTGCTTTTTAATATTAGAGATCCTGCTCTTTCCCCACAACACAAGCTTCTCTCTATCCTCTCCATTTGATCCTGTGCCTTATCTTGTTCAAGTGCTTCTAAACGTCTGCTGCTTTCTGCAGTGTTTCCCAAGAAAGTTCAGAAATTAAGTTCATAAGCAAAAGTTGTTTTAGTAGCAGAATCTTGGCTTTCTGACCCTTGGTGCCTCAGTGTTGCTGTTGTAAATGATACGGGGTGGAAATACTTTTCCTTATCATGTCCTATCACTATCTGTAAAAAAATGTTGAATTTTTTACAACTGTTGCACATAAAGGTGTTAAATTTCTGCCCTAAAATCAGGCCACCAGCTCTCTTACCTTTGCTCGTGTGTTGATCGAGACTCTGACCCTTCCTTCTCCCCCTTCTCTTTTGCAGGGTTGTGAAAGAAGAAATCTCTGATGACAATGCAAAACTTCCCTGTTTCAATGGCCGGGTGGTGTCCTGGGTAAGCAAGAATCGTCCTGACTTGAGTGTCTCTGTGCAGACAACTGTGGGTACGACTGGCTCTACCATGCAGTAAAGCTATGGAGTTGAATGCTTTTCAAGTGAGGCAGCTTTCGAGGTTCCCTCCTCCCTTCTGGTTCCAGAACTCAACCTCCCACCCCACCAGTGCTTCAGAACCCTCCAGGAGCTCTCATGGAGCAGTCCAAGACTGGCCCACCCTCTACACTCAGCATGTCCCTCATTCCTGGTACAGGTCCCGTAGCAACAGCACCTCCTTCTCAGATTGTCTTTGCTTAACCCTATCCCAGCTTGCTAGCAGCCTGCACAGTCTCCTGCCCACCTGCCTCCTTCATCACCTTCTGCCCTTCCACTAAACAGAGCCCGTGTGGTGCCATGCTAAGAGTTTGGGACTGGGGCTCAGGCGATTTGGGTTTGCATCCCCACTCAGCCATGCAGCTCCTTGGGTGACTCTAAGCCTAATCTACATAGAAACAGAGCGAGTCAGAAGGGGTCTCCCGGGCCATCTAGTCTGACCCCTGACTCCAGCAGACTCCACTCACAACATGCCCACCATGTGGACGTCCAGCCTATCCTTGAACACCCGCACTGATGGGGCCTCAACAACCTCCCATGAAAGCTCATCCCACACCTTTGGGGTCCTCACGGTCAGGAAGTGCTTCCTGGCATCCAAATGGAACCTTGGCTCCCTGAGCTTTGCTCCATTGGAGCACATCCTGCCTTCCTCTGCAGGGGAGAACAGGTCTCTGCCCACCTCTGTGTGACATCCCCTCACATACCTGGATGCCGCCAACAGATCCCCTCTGAGTCTCCTCTTCTCCAGGCTGAAGAGACCCAGTTCCCTCAGTCTCACAGGGTTGTTGTTGTTGTGAGGATAAGATCAAGAGGGGAATTATGCAAGCCACCTGGAGTTCCTTGGAAGGGAAAATATAAACAAACCCCCCCAGCTGGAAGCAGGCCCTGTTCGGCTGCTTCCGTTCAGCCTGCTTTGCCCTCCTGGCCTGGGCAGTGAGGGAGGGCACAGTGGCAGGCATCTGGCGCTGACTGGGAAAAGAGGAATGGATGGCGATGGCAGCAGCCCATCTGCTTGCTGTCCAGGAACTGGCTGGCCCACCACCTTCGCTTTGTGTACGCCCAGAATAAAGCCGTTTGCGAAGAGGCGCTGCGGGGAGGGAGAAGCACAACAGATGGCCACAGGGCTTTACCAGGTGTTGCGCCTGCCATGCGGCTGCCTCTTTCTATCTTTCCTTGGCAGAGGCGTTCTGTACAGTCTGGGGCAGGTTCCCAGTCTTGGTGAGATGCTACCGGTAGTAGATGGATCTTTGATTCCATTCAGTGAGGCAGTTCAAGACTAGGAAAAGCTACAGAGCATCCAGGACATCTTTCCGTCCTCCGTGCAGAAGGACTGATGAAGTGATTTGAGACCTGAAGGGTATGATAGATAACCTTTGTCCATGCAGTGGAAGAGATTTGATGCCACTGTTAAATGTTCCAGAATTTGAAGTAAGTTCCAGCCAAACATCTGTCCAGTTCCGACACAGGAAAGGATCTGTCTGGCTCAGCTCTACCTGGTGAGACAGGGAAAATAGTGATCTACTGTATTAGGGTCCTTCTGAGAGCACATTAAAATGGCATCTGTATACCATACCCTCCCAGCTTCCTCTGCAGTACGGGGGACATACACAACGCTGCTGGACATCCAGAATGGAAACGCTCCAGCAGGTGGAGTAGAGGAAAACCATCTTCTGCTTTCTGGTTGGCTGGTTTGTACATTGTCTCCTTTTCTGTCCTGAGCCCCTGTCACAGACTTCGCCTGCTACTGCCTTCTCTCGCCGGAAGCAGTGACTTTGCTAAGAAAAATGAAGGGGGTGCATTGGGAAGACCGCTGGGGTGGGGGACAACGCCTGCCTTGCTCCCCTCCCCTCCCCTGCTGCCAGAGTCGCCATTGTCTGGGGCGGGGCTAAGCAGAGACCTGGTTACCTGCATCAGCTTTGAAAGAGGGTCAAGAAGTAGTTCACCTGGCTTAATCAGTTAAATAGTTTAATGTTTGAATCAGTCAAGGAGCTATGAGAGACATTAAAAGGGATCAGGCAGAACTCTTGTCAGCCAAAGCCTTAGTCCTGGTTGATACCAGTAAGTGTCCCTTTTCTTCCTTCCAGGGGCACCAGCTGGTTCCTATGAGTGTTACGGTCGAAGTGGACAGGGCTGCCGACTCTGGCGGGGTTGGGTAGCAGGACTTACCCACACTAGAATTTGGTGGCCTCACCTGCGCAGTGAGATGGAGCACCATCTTACTGCTTTTCCTCTTAAATGTCACCAATAGCCATTCATTCTTAAAGTAATGGTGTAGCACGCCCTGCAGAGACACTTTGCTAATGAATAATACGTACCAGCAATGCTGAGTAGCACCTGATTTCTGGAAACCCATGGCTACTCCACAAATACCGTTTCCACTATTAAGTCCTGAAGCCTTGAATTAAAAAATAAAATAAAATAAAATAAAATTGGCTTTTGAAGGTTGTGGTTGGTAATAGGAAGAAAACATAAGAGCACACACATGCGTGTAATCATACAGCTATAATAATCCTTGCTAGCTGTGGTCTTGGTAGTGTTTGAGTAGTTAGCTGCAAGATCTCCACAGTTGAAGTTTCCCCTGGCAAGGTCCTTAATCACCTTGCCCCACCTTTTATTTTCTATAGGCCTCACCCATCTCTTCCCAAAGTAGCTCCTATTTTGTAATACACCCAGCCCACACATTTTCCAAAGAAAATGTAGAGTTCAGGCTTCCATAGCTTCCTGCAGTCAAAGTTTCTTGGCTCCGCTGCCTGCCCTGTGCAGATACCTCCATCGCTCCACTGCCATCTGTTCCTCGGCAGGACAGCTGGAGCTCCGGGGAAGGAATGGCCTCTTCCTTTGTGCATTGTGCTTGTCGCCGCCTGCTTTGGTATCCCTCATGGCTTTGGGGGTTGCGTGTGCGGCTGGGGCCAGACGGTGAGGAGTTATTTCAGGCGCAGGGCTCTAATTTTAGGAGCATCGAGGGGCGGGGGAGTTCAGCCAAAGTCTAGCCAGTTGGCTCAAGAGGCCGGGGATTAGCAAGGCTGCTGCCCCAAAGAATCCCGGCTTTAGGCATGTTGGTGGGCAGATTTTTGGGATCTGGGGATCCTATATTCTTTTCCCTCCTTGAACGGCCGCTTTGACTTCTGGGGCCCTCGGGTGCTTGGTCCTTCCCCCCTCTCCAAGCATAGCTGCAGCTGTGAGATGGATGGTCTTCCCTCCCATCAGTCGTCCTTGACGAGTGACTTAGCAGCCGTGAGGCGTATTTGCCACATGGGGGAGTGTTTCAGCGGCAGTGACACTATTGCTTTCTTTCTCGTGGTTGTCCTGCAACAAGGGGGCACGTGGTCCTGAGAGCTGCATGTGACGCAGGCTTGGGGCCTCAGGGCCCACATGCACAGACACACACATGCACACAGGATAATGTTTTTCAGGATACAGCTTCTCTCCTCCCCTCCCCTCCCCTCAGCAATCCTGATGTTGTTGCTGCTATGTGCCATCATGTCTTCTCTGACCTGGGGCAGCCCCATCAATGGAAGTGCAGCACATTGTCCCGTGCGCACCATCTGTGCTTAGCTGTTCCAAATTCAAGGCTGTGGCTTTCCTGATTCAGTCCATTCCATTTTGCTCTTCCTTTTATTCTCCTGCCTTCAACTTTCCTTAGCGTGAAAAGGGAGTGCTTGGCCTTCTCATGATGTGCTCAAAGTAGAACGGCCTCAGGTTTTTTGCTTCAGGGGAAAGCTCTGACTTGATTTGATCCAGGGCCCACTTGTTTGTCTTCCTGTCAGTCCAGGGTATTTGCAAAGCTCTCCTCCAGCACCTTGTTTCAAACATATCCTCTTTCTTCCTGTCAGCCTTCCTCACTGCCCAGCTTTCTCGCCCAGCCATAGTGATTGGTGGGAAATGTCATGGATGATCTTGGCCTGGGCCCCAGAAAATCATCCTTACATAGCTCTCAAAATGTATAGTAAAAACACAAATAAAATTTAATCCATAGATTTCAGAACAAAAACAGCCATCATAACTAGAAGATTTAAAAGTATCTTGGACATAGCTAATTAAAAACACAAGGGCAGTGGAAATGTGTAGTGGAATAAAAGGCCTGCCAGAATACAAAGGGCTTTGCCTGGTATCAGGCAGACATAGAAACAGAGCGAGTCAGAAGGGGCGTCCCGGGCCATCCAGCCAGCTCCTCTCAAGACATGCCCACCATGGGCATGCCCAGCCTATCCTAGGGATCGTGGAAGACAGACATCTCTAAGGGCAAAACTAGAGCTGCAAGCACTTGCAAGCTGTACACCTGATTCCTTTCGGGAGTGCGACCTGGACATATACACCTGGACAGACTGCACACTAGCAGTGCCTCTGCCTTGTATGGCTTTAGTTTCCATTTACTGGCTCTTAGCCAGCGTGATCCCGTGCTCAGGCAGTGAATAAACTCTTCTTTGCCCTCATCTGGATCTGCTGGAAGAGAGGGAGAAAGCTCCCTGTGTCAGCATTCTGATGGGCTGCACTCTAACTTTCCAGATGACATCACTTGGTGGTTTTACAGAGAAGTTAAATGGTATGATGGCTAAGCACACATGCCATGGGCTTGAGCTTGGGCAGAAACCATCCAGCACCACCCTCTGGAAACAGCCATCCAAGTAGGAGTGGAATCACTCGAGCTCAGACACCCTTTCCAGATGGGCTTTGTGGGCAATGGGATCAGACCCTGCAGAGGTCCCAGAGAATCCACAGGGTCTCTTCTGGCAAAGGACATTCCACAGGCAACCTGTGCTGCTCAGTGTCAGACCCAGGCCTAAACCCAAACCGAAATGGACCTAGAAGATCCATTTCATGCAGGATCTGATCTGACTGTTTTGTCTGAGCTGAATTTTAATTACTTCTTAAGCCAGGGTTTGGTGGTTCTTTCCTGGGAGCTGTGAGATAGTACTGACCTGCGCTGCCCTTGTTTGTGTGTCATACTTGAGTTTTTGTTAGATCTTGAATGTCAGAGAGTGATCTTGATTCCAGTCTCAACCTCACAGGCTCTGAATGTTTGTATGCTGTCACTGTACAGACGCACTGTTCTAACAGGTTGCTTAAATATTTTGCTGAAATTTGAACTTCACCTCTTCCCCCGCCTTCCCAAATGGAAAACTTTCCCATCTGTCTAGGTTAGTTTATCTTCTGTGTCTTCTTCTTCCAGCTGGTGTCTGCAGAGGGTTCTCATTCCGATGCCGGGTCTGTCTGTGCTGACAATCAGCCGGAGCTTCCTCCCTCCATTGAGCGGACTGGAGGCATAGGGGACTCCAGGCCTCCATCTTTTCAGTAAGTAAGCAAGGAATGCAAGGAGCAGAGACCTGGGCAGCTTTCCCTGCAGGAAGTAGGCTTGGGACAGGAGTTCTCTCTCTCTCTCTCATTCCTCTCCTCATTGGCTCCTCAAAGGAAGCTGAAAGCAGCGGCATGTCTCAAGCAGCTGGGTGCAAGTTTTTCAGGATGCTCGACTCTCGTTGTTGGCCCTGCCCTGCCCTGCCCAGGAGGGCCCATAGCTCAGTGGCGGAACCCCATTAATTCCTTGCAACTCCAGTTCAAAGCTGTCTTTGAAAGGGAGCTTAGAAATGCCCTGCCTAAGGCCTTGGGGAGTTGGTGCTAATCAGAGGGCATGAGGGTATTTCCTGTGCTGCTGCACACACTACCCCATACAGAGGAGCCTGGCTTGTCCTCGGGCCCACTGTGAGGAATGGGGGAACAGGGTGCCACTCAGCGGTCTCTGGTTTATTACTGGGAGGGCCTCTAGAGGTGGGACATATTTCTTCCACGTGCCCCTCTGGAAGGCTCTGGGGTGTGGGAAGGGATCACCTTGGCAGCAGCATATCAAGTGTGGAAGTGCACCTGGGAGACTCCTTGGTAGTCCTGGATCCCTGGGCAACCCTGGGGGTCAACCCCTTGCCAGTGTAAACATGCAGAAATAGGGTGTGAGTGGCCCCTTTCTGGATTCTGTGGCTTCCAGGAGCCAATGTGGATTCCCCTGCCTGGTTGCGCTCCCAGGTTCCCCCCTCTGCGTTGAAAGTTAGCAGGCAGAAGGGGCTTGGTTAGCTTTCTCCTTGATATTTGTATTTTTCACATACAATGAGGATGCTTTGTGTTTGGATTTAAAATTTGGGGGGGGGGTGGGCTTGGCAGGGGCAGCATCTAGTTAAATACATGATCTTCACCCTGAGGTCTGCACTAGTATCGACCAGGCTTTTGGTCAGCCTTTCTTTCTTTCAAGCCCTGTTATTCTTTGAGCAAATTTGAAGGTGCCTGCGTGCACATGTAGAGTTTCCTGCCTTTACTTGCAGCCCCAACACAGGGGGGAGCCGTGAGAACCTGGACAATGAGACAGAGACGGACTCGGTGGTGTCTGTACAGAGGGAACGGCCACGCAGGAAGGACGGACCTGAGCACGGTGAGTTTCTTTCTCGGGGCTCTCCTGGACGGTTTTGCACTCCACCTGCGGCCTTGTACTGCTCTGCAGTTTGTGCCGTGGGCTCGGATGTTGTGTGCCTGTGCTGGAGGGCCCAGGGGTGGGGGCCTCTCCATGTTAAAGAGCCTTATACCTTAGCGGGGTGCGGGGTCAACCTCGACTGGTTTCCCCCACTCCCAGCAATTTTGCTCTGGGCAGACAGGATTACTGTTATTACTGTTACTGTTGTTACGATCCCCTTTCATATTATTGCCTTTCTTCCTCTTGCAAGGATCCCAAGGAAGCTTACAAAGTTCTCCATTTCCAAAACTGGAGCTGACAAGGTGGGTGGGTGTGTGGAAGGGGAGAGACCCTCCTTTGGAGCTAGGTCTCATACAAGAGGCGGCTTGGCTCAGGTGCTTAGTTTTCTGTCAGAAGGAATAGTTTGCCATCATGGGCTGCTGTGCTGTTCTATTCCTTCTCCCCAAAAAACGTTTGGCCGTGTGATCCTTCCAGTCCCTTTGGGTGGATCAAGGCAGAGAACTTTCCTGCTGTGTGCTAACTCATTTTCACTGCAGTTGCAACATTAGCTAGCCCTGTTTGCATGGTGTTCTTTGAAGCTGCCCTTCTCTGCAAGACAATGTCCCTGGGCAAGTGATGATTCCACAGTGCTGGAAGCACAAATCCTTTTCCAGGCAGGGTATCAATGGCAACCTGCCTCTTCTGGACCTTTGGAAAACTTCCTCTTTTGCACGACCCTTTAACTGTCACGTGCTTCTCCTTTGACTCCAGCAGCCAGGGTGAATGGGACGGCCAAGGGGGAACGGCGGCGGGAACTCGGTGGCTATGAAAGTTCTTCTACCGTCATGAGCAGCGAACTGGAGACCACCAGCTTCTTTGACTCTGATGATGATGATTCTACCAGCAGGTATGGGAGGGTGCATGGCTTGGGAAAAAACGCCCCCCGTTGGTGCAAGAGCCCGAGTAAAGATGCTTCCACTCCACTTTCCTCTCTGATGAGTGGATATCAGGCACTGCGTATTTATCCCCTTGTGGGAGTTACACAAAGTTTCTAAGGACCTTTGAACTGTCTCTGGTTCCCTGAAAAGTGTTCCGTTATGAGACGTTTGTGTTCAGATGTGCTTGTCGTATTCACGCGTGCTGTGTTTTTAGGCGTATCTCTAAGATGCTTTTTTGCCCAGACAATATGCTTGTTGTGGGAATTAGAATCCTAGCCCAACCCTCTGTGTAGAATTTGGTAAAGGATAGTTTGAAGAAGGATGACCAAATGCCTGAGACTTTGTCCTGCCAATACTTACTAGGGACAAGATGTTGAGTGATGTGAACACGCACCCCAATAAAATATCGCCATAAAAGCTCTGTAGACGCATTTTGCTTTTGGTTGGCTTTTGTTGGAAAGTAACCCAGCAGACTGTTGGAGGGCTTTGAGCAAAGCTGTGTATTCCCCAGTTCTTCCTTCACCCTTCACACAAATACAAGCAAGAAGCAATAAAGGAAGTTTGTATAAATTTTCAGGCAGAGCTTATATTCATAAAAAGGCCTTTCAGAACAGGCCCAATAAGGGAAACCCAGGGTCAGAGAGAGGACTGTTGGCCAGTTGATTTTTCAGACTCCCCTTAAATTAGAATAATAAGGTGTGTAACTTCTCCAGTTGCATTTCAGATTAAACAAAGTAAGCTAGGCTACTCCATAAGAAAAAATCCAACATCTGCAGTTAGGCAATATCTTTATCAGGAGCAAGTAAATAGGAATAAATTTTTTGAGGTCTTCAAACCTCTTCATCAGGTGCTACAAAAAGCAGACTCTGGGAGTGGGGTGGAAGAGAGAGGCCTGGAAAACTGACTTGGGACGGTTGGCGTGTCTTCATGGCCATCGGTCTGACCTGAAACCTGCAAGAAACGTGTTAGAGACCAACATGCAGTCCTATGCACGATTAGACAGAAGTCGTCTCTGCGACTCCCAGCATTCCCCAGCCAGTCATTACTGTGCAGCATGGGGATACGTTCATTGTAGGGATACCCTAACCCTAGCAGAAGATGGAAAGAGACTGAGGGAATTGGGCATGCCTAGCCTCAAGAAAGGAAAGCTGAGGGGAAATACGACAGCACTCCTCAGAAAGGCTGCCACAAAGAGGAAGGACAGGATCCCTTCTCAATTATCCCAGGGCACAAGACATGGAATAACGGACTTAAGTTACAGCAAGTCAGATCCCGGCTGGGCTTCAGGAAGAACTTCCTAGATGTGACAGCAGTATGGCATGGAACCCCTGACCTCGGGTGGTTCTGGGCTCCCCCGCACTGGAACATTCAAGGTGCGGGTGCACAGCCGTCTGAGAGGGGTGGTTTCACTTGCGCCGAGCAAGGGATTGGGTCCTCCGGCCCCTTCCAACTCTTCTGCGATTCTGTGACTGGGTTAAGACATAAGGTATCAGGCTCAAGATTGCAGATGCTACTTCCTGCCAGCAATTTGCAAGGTGGCCTTAGTGGCACCTTGGGCACTATATTAAGAGAGACCCTGAAATGATGAGAGGTTCTCTGTGCCAAATATCTTACTTGCCCCAGTTGCTTTCAAGTCTGAAATGGGTTCTTTGTATTGGATGTAATAAGTTATTATGAACTGCATTTAGCTACCAGAATCTTCAGATTACCTAAGTTGGTACACTTGCTGCTGGAAGTCCTTTTCATGATGCAATTATATCTTTGCTGGTTTCCACTTTGTCACTTGATCTGTGTTTGCGCTCTGTCTCTTTCTCCCTGAGTATGTATGTGAGTAGGGAACGACTCTGTCTTGCGCAAGAGCTTGCTCCTTTTTGAACATGGTTCTTAGGACCCAGCAACCCCACGTTCTTGGTCCTTAGACTTTGTGTCTGTCCCACTGACCGGATCGCAGACCTTGCGCATGTCTCTGCGTCGTAGGTTCAGCAGCTCGACGGAGCAGAGCAGTGCCTCCCGCCTGATGAGAAGGCACAAGCGACGCCGGCGGAAACAAAAGGTGCCACGCATAGAGAGGGTGAGTTTCCCTGGGAGTGTGTCTGGGGTGGATCAGAGCCACTGGTGACCTCACAGATCTTAGGGCTAGGCCCATGCCCGGATGGGATCGTGGATGGGAGAGACCCAGTGGAGGACCTGGTTGCTTCACCCTCCTCCCAGCTGCTGGATCCAGAGGTTCACGGGCACAGCTGGGCCTTGGTTGATTCCCCTGCTTTATCACGTTTCCTTCTGTTGCAGTCCTCCTCCTTCAGCAGCATCACTGACTCTACCATGTCGTTGAATATTATCACCGTCACCCTCAATATGGGTAAGTGCAGGTGGTTCCTTGACGTGCTCTGCCCAGCTGAGGCAGGTGGAGAAAAAAACAGGCAAGCTGATATTTTGCAAAACATCAGGACTAGAAAGGACCTCAGAGTTTTTCTGGTTTTTCGCCCAGCATCTAGGTGAGACGGGTGTAGAACCTTCCAAGGCAGATGTTTGTCTGGGTGGTCAGCCTTTCTCCCAAACTAAGTTTCTCTCTCCTTCCTCTCTCATGTGTTCTGTGACCAAGTGATATATATAACTGAGAAGCTATATTTAATGTAACATTTTAAAAACCCTGATACTCTCCTAAACATGTAATGCAATCTTACCAGTTCCCCTGAACATATGCAAGGCAGAGTAAAAAATGATTTCGAAATTGGTGCTTTTGCAAGTTGCCTCCTTTTCCAGAGGTTTATTTTACCAGGGAGACACCGGACAGGTTTTGCCACTCTTTCGGAAACTTTTTGGCCCATTTTGAATTGCAGACCCTTCTTCATCGTCCATCCATCCAAGGTGTTTTCCAGGACTAGTCGCAGGGTTGGAGGTTTCTTTGACTCCCCTTCTTTCCCTTCTGAGAGTGCGTTGTGGTGGACCCCTCCATGTCTGAGAGCCAGCACATGTGCCCCGCCCCCCTCATTCTCCCAAATGAGTGTGGGTATTTCCACTGAATACAATACAAGGGTTTTTTTTCCCTCTTTAAAATATTCCGCAAGACACAATGACTTGATTTTAATTCAGACCTGATTGCAGAAGAACAAACTATTTGGATTTTCAGCATAGGTGGAATAATACTCTGTAATGCAGCATCAACTGGCTTTGCCATTTTGCTTTGTTTTGCAACTCCCCTTTATGTTTTAGCTTACCAATAAAACAGGCTAACTTAGAATGTGTTCTTAGGGTGCCACCCAGTCTAGCTGCCCATAACACAGCAAGGTCAGAGGATTCCAGGGATCCAACAGGAAGCACGGATTACCTCTGTGCTTCTTTCACCCTCCAAAACAATGACTGGTTGAGTCCTGCTAATGAGGAGGAGAGACTGAGGTCCTGCCAGAGTTCCTCGTATCCTGATGCAGCCTTGTCATTCCTCTGGTATGGGGCTCTGAAGTTGCCCTTGTGACTTTGCGGACTCTGCCATCAAAGGAAGATCCGTGGTGTCGCAACCTTGGGTTGCTTTTCTGAGGTCAGAGCTGGGGCTCCAAGTTTTCCTATGGCTGTCTAGGCAGTGTCTGGCCGCCGCAGGATTGCACCTGAGTAGCCATTTCCTAGAAGGTTGCTGATTGGGCGATGCCGTTCTTACCGTACGCCCCCTTTTCTGCAGAGAAGTACAATTTCTTGGGCATCTCCATTGTCGGACAGAGCAACGAGCGTGGCGATGGGGGCATCTACATTGGCTCCATCATGAAGGGAGGGGCTGTGGCTGCCGATGGAAGGATTGAGCCGGGAGACATGTTGCTGCAGGTACTTTAAAAAAGTTTTGCTCTGTGAGCCCAAAGTCCAAGGGGCCTTGCTTTCAGGGGGAAGCGGCAGGCTGCCTGTTACCCTGTGCTCTAGTTCAAGGGACAGGCTAAAATCTGAAGCGAGTGGAATGTCAACCGCCTACGCAAGAGAGGCTCTTCACCTTTGCCATATACACATGCGGGAGAGTCAGCGTCAGAGTGGAACTGCCAGTTCTGTAGAGAAGCGCAGTGGCCAAGGAAAAACCCAAGAAAATCAGGATGGCTGGAGTGTCCTGGAAAATCTTGACATGTACACGGTCTGCAGATTGTGCGGTGGTTATTTCAAGGTCAATCTGGGGGTGATGATATCCTTTGCAGGACCAGACCTTGCTGTTCATGGGCTGGGGCCAGATTTTGGCAGCAGAACACACCGCCAAGACCACAGAAAGGGCTGTGCTGGGCCGGACAACGGCTGCATCTTGTCCGGTATTCTGTTCGCTCTGTGGCCAACCAGCTGCCTTTGAGAAGTCCGCCCATGTTCCCCAGCTCTAGGCAGACTGCCTCTGATACTGGAGAGCAGAATGTAGCCATCTGGAAAAGGAGCCATTAATCCCTGTCTAATCCACAACTCTCCTTAACCCCCTTTTAAAGTCATTCAAATTGGTGGCCGTCACTCCCTGTCATAGTTCAGCTGCGTGCGGTGTGAAATACTTGCTTTTATCTGTGCTGAATCTCCCACCAATTAGCTGCATGGGTCATGTGTGTTCGAGTGTTATGAGAGAGGGAGAAAAATGTCCCCCAGTCTACTTTGCCACACCACATGTACACGTGTACCCCCCTTTTCTAAGCTGAACTGTCCCAGATATCGTAACCATTCCTCACAGAGGAGTCCTTCCAACCCGCTGATCTTTTTATTGGCACTGTTCTCAACTCCACCATATCCCCTTTTCAGTGGGATGATCAGAATTGCGTTGTTGTTGCAGTAGTTGTGCATTTTTTCCTCTTGAAGGAACCCAAGGCAGCTTGCATAGTTAGCCTCCACTGCATCTTTATCCTCACAACAACAGTCCTGTGAGGTAGGTCCGGCTGAGAGTCCATGACTGGCTTAAAGTCACCCATGAGCTTCATGGCTGAGGGTACTAGAACCCAGATTTCCCAGTATGTATGTACAGCAAGGATATCTGTGGGGGGAAGTATGATCTTGGCAGTTTCATTTCTGATTCCTAATGATTCCTGTCAGGGAGTCCATCTTTTTTTATGACAACCATGCAGTGGGCCAGCTGTCTTTCCACATGCAGGCCCCAGGCTTCTTATTGGCTGCTCCCCTGGAAAGGATCTTGGGTAGCAGTGAGGTGACAAGCCTCTACCAGAAGCCACTGCCAGTCCCAGAACCCGGAACTGAGCCATTGTCCGACTCCATGTCAAGCAGCCTTCTGTGCTTATGTGGGACCATCTTATGGGTTTTCACTTTGGGGAGGGTCATACATTTTGTCTGTCCTTGCAGGTGAATGATATCAACTTTGAGAACATGAGCAACGATGATGCTGTGAGAGTGCTTAGAGAGATCGTGCACAAACCGGGGTAGGCATGCTCCCCTTCCGCCTCACTCTGAGGCTGCTTGCACTTGCAGGCCTGCGTGCCCCGTGAGGATGCAGCCAGGCGGTCATCTTTGGGCCTCAGGCCATCTTGGGACACCGGCTGTGCAGGGTTTACCCAGGGCATCATGCATCAGTTGAAAAAGTAACTGAAAAGCAGAGCAAGAAATACTCTTCTGCAGGAAAAAATAACCCCAGGCCACACCCTCGCGGGGTGAGCGGTCGGCAGCCATTGCCTGTGTTAGATGCACCATCTTAGGGGTTTTTACAGGGCCAGGATCTGCCCCTGCCAAACAGCCTCGCACAATGTTTAGAAAACTCAAATCAAGTAACTGTCCGGTATCCCTGTTTTCTTCTGGTAGGGCATGCCAGTCCTGAGCTTTAGGGGTATTTTTAGTGGGTTAAAAAAACTGTGTGGGGGGGCTTCTTTCTTGCTCCATGAGGGCTGGAGTTGCCACCGTGGGCACCTGCTGCATGAGCCTGGGATATGGTGGGGCTGGTAGTAGTGACAGCCTTTGTGTTTCTGCTTCAGGCCCATCACACTGACGGTTGCCAAGTGCTGGGATCCCAGCCCCCGGGGCTGCTTCTCTCTACCCAGGAGTAAGTGCGTTGCTTTTGTTCCTCTACTTGCTTCGTGGTGCATTTGAGGGCTGACTTGGTAGAGGATCGAGTGGTGATACAGTTTCTCCCGGATTATATACTGCTACCCAGGTGCAGGAGCTTCCTCACTGGGCAGGAGGGATGAGTCAGCACTGCTGGGGGAAGGCCAGATTGAACTCCCTTCCTGGGGAAATTAGTTTTCTGCACGCAGGAAGAGTTTGAGTTGTGAAGTGGTGCGGTCCTGGGGAAGCCCTTTCCCCTTTCTCTTGACCCTACAAGTGAGCTTTGAGTGTCTGGAAAAGCGCTGGAGGTTCTGCCGCCTCTCTTCCTCTTGACTCTCTTCGCTGCTGTCTCTCCCTGCTGCCTCTTCCCCCCTCTTCTGCCACCCCGTGCCCCGTCAGTCCCCTCCTGCCGCACCTCAGCTGAGCCACGCCAGCAAGGTAGCGGGCCCATTCCCCTCCTCCCGCCCCCCATCCCACACCTGCCGTGATCGCAGGGGGAGTGGCTCCCCCGGTGCCCCCGTTGCTGACCCTCCCTTTCTTCTTTCTCCCCCAGTTGCTCCCCAGCGGATCTGGGCTGGGCCAGACTCTCCATGCTCCGACCCGGGTGAGTCCCGGTGGATGGTGGGGACGGACAGGGCCGCCCAGAGGTGTTGGGTTTGGCGAGGGGGATGGCTCCGGAGGGGACTTCCTCACGGGCCCTGTGTTCCCTTTAGGCGAGCCCATCCGGCCCATCGACCCAGCGGCCTGGGTGTCCCACACCGCAGCGATGACTGGCACCTACCCAGCGTACGGTATGAGCCCATCCATGAGCACAATCACTTCCACCAGCTCCTCCATCACCAGCTCCATCCCAGAAACCGAGCGTAAGTCTTTGTGCCTGTGTGTCCCCTGCCCCCGCTTGGCTTCCTGTCGCCTGCACACCGCGTCTGATCGGAACCATACACACACGGGACAGGAGCCTGACTGGAGGGCTGCAAGGAGGATCTGGCCTGCCCCAAAAGAGGACTTCCCCATAGCTGCTTCATTGTGGATGCTTTTCCTCTCCCGCAAAGCGTCCGGGTTGCTTTGGCAGCCCGGTGTTTCAACGGGGAGGCCAGAGGAGAAAGGTCGATGAAGGCAGCCCGGGGGAAAGGCTTTATGTTGCTCAGCAAAGCAGAAGGTAGCTGGGTTTTTTATGCAGCTCTTCCCGCGGGATTATGAGCACTCCTGATAGGCTTCGTAATCAGTGTGAGAACCAGGTGAGTTCTAAGAAGGGGATCCTGGCAAACATCTTGGCTTGTCTCCTTTGGACAAGGTGGTGGTGAGGTTGCCTCTGCGATGGCTTGAGGCAATGAATGTGTTGGCAGTGCAACCCCTGTGGAGTCCTTTATTTAAAGAAAAAGTCACTTATTTAAGGAAAAAACCTTGTCAACTGAAGATGATGAAGAACTGCAGAATAGCCTCGAGCGGCTTGGATTCCTCAAATGGGTGACTGCACCTGATGAGGGAAGTTGGGAGATGTGCTGGCAAACACAGGGAGCTCATCTCTGTTCTGAAGGAAAGCTGAAGGACAAGGAGCAGCCAGAATGTTAGTTGGAAGCAGGGATTTGGCCTGAGCTGAAAGGTTCCTCGAACTGCTGTAGCGCTTTCGAGGTTAGACAGGTGTGTTCTTGGTCAGTGCCTGGCTGGAAGACTCTGAGCTTTCTGAAGGAAGAGCTGAGTTGGGCAAAGAAACACTGTGAGGGACAGTGGAATAGCAATACAGCGGCTGATTCGCCAGGAAATGAGAAGGAGTGGCCTGAGCTTTCCCGGCGCGAAGGCCCCAGCAGGAGAGGGACCGCGGTTGCCGAATGGCTCGTAGGGCTTGCCTGTGCTGTACTGTTGCCTAGCTCCCATCCCTCCGCGTGTGGCACCTCCATGTCCCCCTCTGCCCCCCACGCGCGCTCACCTCTGCCTGCCTTCCCCTGTCTGACTCACAGGCCTCGACGACTTTCACCTGTCCATCCACAGCGACATGGCCACCATTGTCAAAGCCATGGCCTCGCCGGAGTCTGGCCTGGAGGTCCGTGACCGGATGTGGCTGAAGATCACCATTCCCAACGCCTTCATTGGTAAGGCCTGGTTGCTGCCCCGGGCACGTGGGCGCCTCGTTGTGGGAGGGGAGGGGAGCGGAGCAGAGCGGAGCTTCCGGGCCTCCAGGCAGACGGGTGCTCACCTTTACGTGCCCTTCCCCAGTGAGAAAGGCAAGCTAGCTCAGGGGGAGGTTGCAGAGGGGAGGAACACCTTGCCACTGGAGATTCGCCAGGTGCCTGCTCTATTATGTTTCAGGCGCCTCATGATCTTTTTCTCTGTCGGCACACCCATGGCACTACTTCAATGATTCATTGATGGCACTGGTTTTAATTTTATGTATTTTATTAATTTACATGTTGTTTGATTGTATATATTGTGTCTTAATTTGTAGATTATAACTTTTAACTGTATTATTTTATTAATGTTGTTACTGATTTTTATTGTAATGGCTGCCTGGAGAGCATAATGCCAATAGGGCAGCTTTTATACAAATTTAATGCAAAGAAACACGAACTCTGGAAAACAGTAAGCAAGTCTGCCCATCTTCACAGATGCTTCTCTGGCAGAATTATCCATGGGAGCTGGTATAAAGTTGGGATTCTTAAGAATCGCAGCTTTCATCTCTCCCCGTTTTTTCAGTCTTAGCCCTCATGCTTAGGGAGCGGAATTGTCATTTTGCTGTCTCAGCAGACCTGTGTACAAACTCACACACATTCCGACTGAGAACCACACGTGTTATCAGGAAGCTTTTGACGCTGGCATAAAGAGCCTCTTTAGCTAAGAAGGCAGTTCCCACCCAGAGGGACCTGCAGTTGGCCACCAGAACAGGACAAGCCCACAAGGGGCACAGGAATTCACACGCTAATTTGGAGGAATTAAATTGCGCAAATGGAGTGCTTCATGTTTTCATCACTCGGGGATGCTCCAGCCTTCTCCAAGTTATGCCCAGATGAAGTTTCTGCATCTTTCTGGGATCCATTGCTGCTTGTCCAGACTTGGGGGCATCTTGTCCCCCCATCTCTCCACATGGTTCTGGTGGGGACCAACTGGACCCTCACATAGGCCTCCCCTTTGCTGTAACAGAGCTCTCAGCCAAAGCTTTTCACGCTCAGAATTACTCACGTCAGTTGCATACATCTAGCAGCCCCAGCCCGTGCCCCAGTCTTCCCTTGTTCAAAAGTTGGGCCAGTGCTGGGTGTTCTCGGACTGCAGTCTTGTACACCCTTACATGAAAGTCGATCCCAGTGCGCTTTGCATCCACGTAAGGGTGCATCGTTCATCCTGGCATGGAGACTGGGGTCATGGACACCCGCTCTGGATGGCTCCTTCTCCCGAGCACAGGTGGGGAGCCCGCCAGGTGCAGCCATACTGCACCTCCCACAGGGCCATGGATCAGCCATGCCGGCTGGAGTATAACAGGCGTTAAGCTACATGTGGGGAGCCATGGGTCCTCCACCCCTGACTTGAGCCAGGAGACCACAGGCTTCCCTGCCATCTTCCCAGTCCCTCTTCCGGCCTTGCCAAGTCCCTCTTGCTTCCGTTGCTTGGCAGGCTCTGATGTGGTCGACTGGCTGTACCATCATGTGGAGGGGTTCACAGACCGGCGAGAATCCCGCAAGTATGCCAGCAACCTGCTGAAGGCCGGCTACATCCGACACACGGTCAACAAGATTACCTTCTCAGAGCAGTGCTACTACATCTTTGGCGACCTCTGTGGCAGTACGGATCCTGCTTTGTCACTTGGAGGGGAGGGAAGCGGAGGGGAGGGGAGGGGAGAATCGACGTTGCAGCGGCGAACCCTGCAGGGAGGTGCTCCCAGGCTCGTGGGTGGGGATCAGTTTCCTGGGCCTGGGTGAGCAGAAGAAGAAGGGCAAACGGGGCAGAGCCCTGTAGATTGCACACCCCTTTCCCCTTCTGCCCACCTTGTGGCAGCTTGGCGGAGTGGACAGCTCCTCTGGGGAGAACTTAAATTTCTAAGCGCTGATCATGATGAAGGAAGCATCGTTCCATCTCATTTGTCCCTCTCCACGGGACTTTTTAGTTCAGCAAGAATTTAATAGGCGAGAGATGAGACTAAGGCTGGCTTAGACCACTGCTTCCAGTAACCTGTTCCTTTTCTCTGCCCCTTTTCGCAGACATGGCCAGCCTGTCCTTGCACGACCACGATGGATCCAGCGGTGCCTCCGACCAGGACACTTTGGCTCCATTGCCTCACCCCGGAGCTGCCCCCTGGCCCATGGCCTTTCCATACCAGTTCCCGCCACCCCACCCGTACAACCCCCACCCTGGATTCCCTGATCCAGGCTACAGCTACGGAGGGGGCAGCGCAGGCAGCCAGCACAGTGAAGGTAATGGTGTACCTGATGGGAGGTGCGCAGAACGTCCACCAGCGCGGTAGAGAACATCCTGCCCACTGCTTGCCAACTTGAACGATCGAGTCTTCGTGGAGGAGCAGCCTTGCTTCTGCCTGACAAGCAGTGGGCCTGGGCTGTCTGGATGATGCGATTTCCTCTAACTCCCATTTTGGCCAAGATCCTGGGTATGCTAGAACTCACTCGCTCTCATTTGCGATCCTCTTTTAGTATCTGATGGCCAAGGCCCCTTGCACTTGAGTGGCTGACCCTAAGGCTGTGGAAAGTGCTAAGCTTTTTGGAGAATTCCTTTAGAGTTAGAGCAATGATGGAAAACCAAATCCTACCTGTAGCAGTGTCCACTTTATAAAATGCCTTGCCCAAAGAAATTTATTTGTTCCCAGTATATGGTATTCAGAGATAGTCTGCTTTAGGACATGGAGGCTCTGTTAAGATAGGCTTGTGCATACTTCCAGGAAAATATGCCCACTGTCTTGCTTTCTCAATGGTGCTCATAAGTATTCATAAGCATAGGCACATCTGTTTTGTTGCATCCATTCTTGGGCGCATGCACATGTTTAGGCTCCCTCCTATTTCAAGAGCTGCCATAACTTTACAGCACACCCAGCAGTGTTTAGCTCTAGTTCTGAACCTCCTCCTTTCAGTGTGTTCTCTGGAAAATTATTTTTGAGCCAAATAACATCTTTATAACAGGTTGGAAACTATATGTAAGGTAAGACAGATGCAAGTAAAGGAAAGCTGTGGCAGAATTAAAGTAAAACCAAGAAGATAATGTCCTGATGGGACATAAGAAATCAGGAGAAGATTGCAAATTTTACTTTCATGTAACATTAAGATTTATAAAACACTTTAAAACATTTATAAAAATCAATAAAATATAGCTAACTTTGCAAAACAGAAAGTGCAGGCAAAAGTCATAGTATGAACCAGCCTGTTATATGAGATAGATGTGCGTGTGTGTATGAATGAATTCAATTGATGGACTACCCTGTAACCATGAACTCACATGTTTAGACAAACTTCATAGGCTAAATTACAAGGGCAGTCTGTAATTAATTAATATTGTTAATTTTAATATTTTAATATTGTTGCATGCCAGACGCATTTTGATGGAATACCCTTCTTTGGTGGCAGAGTTAGAAGATGTCAAATGTCTGTTTCAACTGGATCCAAAACATCCAGTATCAAAAGCATTATCATTCAGGAGATAAGCTTTGGGTTGGTAAATCAAGAAATAATGTTGATTTTCTATCTTATTAGTCTTTCCATATTATTTGCAAAAGTTCCAATTACATGGCTTCAAATAAAGCTCACCAGACACTTGGTGCTGTGAAATACTCCTCTGCTCGGACTTGTCTAGTCTGAAAAGAAGTTCTAAATTCAAAGCTGAAGTAGCAGACACCTGTGCTAGTAGATTAAACCAGATTAGTTTCGGGTTTTCCCTATATATTCCAAATTCTGAAGTCCATTAGGGTTACTGTGGGGAGCTTGGATGATGGATCTCGTGAAGCCCCTTGGTTTGTTGAAGGGAGTAGACAGAGTCGTGGAGGGAGAGGTCTCTCCATCACTGTTAGCTGGGATGGGAAAGCGGCATCTTGGTCTCCGGAGCTGCGTGCTCTGGGCACGGAAGAGCAGTCCTGCTTGCTGGCCGGCACGTAGAGCCACCTGGCTGCCCGTGACAGGTAGCAGAGCACCAGACCAGAGGGGCTTCTGGCCTGACCCTGCAGAGCGGGGTTCCTGCGCAACTCTTCATACCTGCCGTGGTGAGCAGGTCCCTCTTCCCACCCTTCCCCTCTGGCGCAACTCAGCACGTGCCCTAAACTGCGGCCTGACCCATTTCTGCTCCTCCTGCAGGAAGTCGGAGCAGCGGCTCGAACCGCAGCGGCAGTGAGAGAAGGAAGGAGCGCGAGCCCAAGGCCGGGGAGTCCAAGTCGGGCGGCAGCGGCAGCGAGTCGGACCACACCACCCGCAGCAGCATGCGGCGGGAGCGAGCGGCCAGCGAGCGCTCGGTGCCGGCCAGCCAGCGCAGCCACCACTCGATGGCGCACAGCATCCGCAGCCATCACAGCCAGCACTCGTACGGGCCTCCGGGCCTGCCGCCTCTCTACAGCCCTCCTGCACTCCTGATGCCTCCGCCACCTTCGGCCCTGGGACCCCCCGGGGCTCCCCCGGGCCGAGACCTGGCCTCGGTGCCCCCCGAACTGACGGCCAGTAGACAGTCATTCCGAATGGCCATGGGCAACCCCAGTGAGTTTTTTGTGGATGTAATGTGAAACGCCGCCCCCCGTCCCTGTCTGTTTGCTTCCCCGTCGGCTTGTCTCCTAGAAACGACCCGCCCTCCGTCCATGTGGGACGACCTTTGGTTTTGTTTTGGTCTTGATAATTATGAAAAGGGAAAAAAATAAACTGAACTAAATGTTTTGATTCTAATCCCTGCCTGCGAACGGGCCCAGCAGCCTCTCCCGGCCACCCCGGACCTGCCTGCCGAGGCAAGCCTGCCCCGCTTGTGCCAGCCCCCTAACACTTTCGTTAACCCATTAATCCGCATCTGCCTGGAGCCTCCTCTGCTCACCTGTGTGTTCCGTGCCGGCTCACTACTCCTGCCCTAAACACGTGCCCTCTTTCTTCTCGCCCCTTTTTGTGTCCCTTTCTGCCGAGCAGCCAAGAATTACGGGGTGTTTGACTTCCTTTGAGCTGGCCGCCCGTGGCGGGGAGAGCCGTGGCGTGCTCTGGTGGTGGTTTGGCTCCCCCAGCAGAGGAAGACGCAGAGCCTGACGGGCAGGCACTTGGGCCCACGTGGGGGCCGAAGATGGCTTCTTTTCCTGCAGGTGGAAGATGCCCCACTTTGTCCATAACCACGGGAGGGGAGCAGGGCTAAGATCCAACTCTGTGTGTCTTCGGGCTGATAAGTGTAGCAACTTGGTGGCCACTCACAGGAGGCTGTGAGGTGCAGGTGAGCTCCTGTCCTGCCAGGTGCTTGGGGCTTCCCTGTGCTCCGCTGTGCAGGACGTCTGGGACTGTGAGGAGGGCCTCCTTGGGGAAGTGTGCAGGGGGGGCTCGCAGTCCACCTTCCTTCTTTGCCTCTTCTCAGTGGGGACCAAAAGGGGGAGCACCAGCCCCTTGTGCCTCTTGTTCCTTAAGGTGACACAAGTGCCATTCTCTCCCCCGGAAAAGGCTTGATGTATTACATTGCCATAACGTTAACGCAAAACCTGTTTCCACAAGCCAGGGTTTCTCTATACCAGCAATCCTAGTTAACCTTCTTCTTGATGTATCTCTCCTATTTCAGATGTCCTAATAGAGCCCCCCCTTTGCATGCAGGATCTGTCTTTCATTAGCTTATCAATCTCATGTCCCTTATGTCAAGATGTCTGAGTCACTGGCTATCTCCAGGCTCATTTCCATGCATCAGTGTGAATTGGTGCTTTCTCTTCCCTTCTTTTTCCTTTGAGGCCCATGTCTCATTCATACTTGGTTTCCTTTTGACCATTTTTAAAATGAAAAGAGTGAGGGAGTGGGGCAGGGAGAGAAAGAAAGAATGCACAGAGCTTCTTAGCTGTATGGTACAGCCGGCACAATGTCCACCCCACACCCCCCACCCCGGTCATTGTGAACACGATTAACCCTTATGTATGCATGCTGGGATTCTGAATATAGTATTGTCCACAAAATTCAGTTTCCAAGTCCTGTTTTTAGTAAAACAAGTTTCTGGATCTTCATGATTGTGAAGAGAAACTTACAAGTGTACAGGCAAACCCTTTTGAAATGTCCCATGGCAGAAGCGTTGCTGTGCTAATTTAGTCCATGAGCCAGAAGATGGCATGGATGTTCCCTGCACTGTGATTGGCAGGGGAGTTGCGGTGGGGTTCCCCCCTCCCACCATGAATTAGATGAGCACCCCAGTCAGTTCCTGCACCCGCCGGAGTAGCAACAGAATTAGGGCAGTGGGACTTGCCACAAAACGTTGCCCGGGTGTGGAGCGCTCCTGCTTCATCCCACCTAGCTCTCTTCCCCTCAGTAGCTTGTTTGCATTCTTTGGCCAGTGGGCAAGCTCATTCTTGAGTGGGCTCTCCACCCCGTAGATTGTATTATAAAAGTTGAAAAACGGGTTAAACGCAGCCTCGTGGCAGCTTTGCGCAGCTGGCCAGCCACTGGCAGAGGCCCTGCTCGGCATGCCAGCACTCCCAGGTTCAGTCCGCAGAATCCCTGGGCAGGCCTAGAAGAACACCTTCCTGAAGCCCTGGCTGCCAGGTAGAGTTGGCATTGCGGTGTTAGGGGCAGCAAATGCCCAACTTCACATAAGGCACCTTCCTACGCTCTGATGCCAAAAACAGGTGGAGGGGGTAGGATAAGGTGGGCATCAGGGGTGCGCCAAGTGCAGTGCCAGCCCTGCTGTTGTGGGTGGCTGGCGGCATTTCGGCCACCTAAGCAAGGATACCCGGCCCGGATATGGAGTAGAGAGAGAATGGCGATTGCGCTAAACAAGGCTGATTCACTGGTCTGAATCTGCATGACCCGAGGGGCAAAGTTAATCTTTTCTTGCAGGAACATGATCACCCGGCAGCATCATTCTGATTTTTTAAATCATGACATTCATGTGGACATGCCATTATTGTAGTTTCTAGAGAGGGTGTTCCATTCCAGTGCCACGCGACCTCAGTACAGTTCTGCCAAAGTTAGGCATCAGTGGGGACGGCTGTCTGTTATCTCTAGTTCTTTGTCCTAGTACTCATGTACTCTCCTGGTCTTCCCTTTGATTTGCTTGTCTGCCATCCAAGGACAGATGGGATCCTTAACCGGTGGCCTTCGTGCATCTTGTTTGCCTGGTTTTGGATAGCCCTTGTGCACCTATTCCACTTCCCTCTGCGGGGGATCTGACTTGACCAGGTTCCCCCAGAAGGGTCCCAGGTAGGCCAGCACCATCCCGCAGTTCAGCCCTGCATATTGCATGCCAACCGTAATGCTAGTCTCCACCTCAAACCACGGCTGGGTGGGACTTCAACAGGCTACCTCCATTCCAGGGTGGTCTTGAGCAAGGGAAGGGAATTCTAAAAATCTAACACTGAGGAGCAGAGCTGAGGTCTTCTGCTGGACCCAGGCTCTGAATGAATTCTAGCCACACCAGAAAGGAGGAAGGAAGGAAGCTGTGAGTGAAAAAGAACGGTGTGTCTTGTGTGCCTGAGTGCATGCATCCTTTTCCATTCCCCCTCTCCTGTTCTCCCTTGCCTTATTTACCTGAACTGCTTTTTGGACTTCTCACTGTCTCTTTCTTTTCCTTTTAAATTATGAGTGAAAGAGCAGCAGAGGTAGCAAGGCATCAGCTGCTCCCACACAAGAGTTCTGTGGGGGTCTTAAACTTTTCAGGAGTCTGGATGGCCGCATTGCTAGCAGTCACGCCCCAGAGTGGACACGCTGGTGGCAGACAGTGGGGAATATATAGTTCTAAAAGTGTTTCTAGGCATGTTCTGTTTGTTAAATGGCAGAACAAAAATTGTGGGGGAAAGAGATTCTGGAAGTCCAGGGACATCTTCATAGTTGTTCGCCTTCCCTCGTGGCTTCTTTGTCAGCTCCCTCCTTAAGCAAAGCCTCCCACGCCACACTCGTCCGTGTCTTCCTTTGTTGTGCATGTATGTTCAGTGTTGAATGCAAAACGTATTAAATCTAGACTTGGGGAGCCTGCAATCGTGCAGTGTTGAAAAAGTGCAACACACACACACACACACACACACTTTACCATGCACAAAGCTTTATACAGTTTCTAAGCAATTCCTAGTGCGGATTCAGCTTCCCGTAGGTACTCATGAGTGAAGATCTTGTTGCTCTGATTGTAGAGGTTGGAATCTGTTCAGCTAAGAATTCCCAAGACCTTGGCTGTCACACCCTGGCCCTGTTCCGCGCACAAACACTTGTACAATTTCTCACACTGCATTTTTAGCTACTTAAATATCCCAGGGTTTTGCACTGCTGCCAAGGCGCCGGAAGCAGCACGCTCTCTTAAGACTGTGCAGCATTCACTAGACGGTACACTTCCAGTCTCTTTCTGCCATTGTCCAAACTTGACCTTCCTGCACTGGTATGGACACTTTATCACGCACGTTCTGTGTGCCAGCTCAACCGGTTTTGGATTCTCTTGTACTGGCAGGGCATGCTCTTGTAGACTGAAGTGCTCTTTCCACTGCTACTTTCCTTTCCGTGTCCAGTCCAACCTCAGCTCATGCTCTGCCTTACTTGCTAGAGCTTCTCTGTAATATCAGTTCTTCTCATCTGTACCTTTGCCATTTTGCTGTGGGTCCTTTCAGTTGGGCCGCTTTCTTTCTGTCTGCCATCCGCCTGTGCATGACCACTGTGTCACGCTCTCTCTCTTCTGTTTCACTCCCATGCCTTCTCACTTCCCCTTTTGCCGGTCCTTTCCCTTCCTTGGTAATGATATATCATCATCTTTTTCCTTCAAACTCTCTTCCTTCTCCTTCGGTGCTATTTTGTCATACATATTACCTTTTCTCCGTGCCCCATTTTATATAAATTGAAACCATCCTATGTGTTTTTATTTATAAAATAGTTTTATTGGACTAAATATTGTCTCTGTGGCTCATTTTCCCAGCTATCCAAATATCTTAGTCTATCTATTTTATACACTTACTGTTTGAAGCTGAATGACATGATAAAAGTTGCGTAGTTTCTTGAGAAGGAGGTCACATTTTTGCATTCCACTTGGCTTTTATGTCTGCACACTCTTCAAAAGCTCTAGAAATGAGTGATTTTACTTCCTAGTGTACAAGAATTTCTTCTCCATACCTTTCTTCCTTTGCTTTTAATATCTCAACTTTCCCTTTCCTGAACATTGAATTTGGGGCAGTGTCCAGTCTTGTCCAGTTTTGTAGAAAGGCTATTGTACAAAAAGGAGCTGATGTGTGAATAGAAAAGTAAAGAAAAAAGGGAAGACAGGAAAAGTAATGCCAAGAAGGAAAGGAATGGAGAAGAAAATGTGTGGCAATAAGAGAAAAAGGAGTAAAAGGAGCTTGTGAGAAAGAATGTCAGGGAAATAAAAAAAGGTGAAGAAAACATTTGTACTGCGTAGACTGAAAAGGCAGACATGTATGAATTACACTTACACTCCACTTGGAAACCCAGAGAAACATGTCTGCTCAGCCTGAATCGGTCCCTAGCATGTGCCATGTGCCCCTTCTGAAATGTCGTGAAGTTTGGGCAGTGCTTCATATCCTGGGGTTGAAGGCATTCTCCTCCTTCCTGACATTCTCCATCCAGTGCCAATCAGCCTGCCATGGCGGCAGTTAAAATGTCGGAATGTTAAAATGCCTAAACTGCACCACAGCAGCATGGTCGGGTGGGGAAAAGCTTTAAAACCATAAACTTGCTGAGCCAGCATAGTGCTTAGCCATGTCCTTAATTCCAAAGGTCCATCCTAGGAGGGCACAGGATGGATTTCAAGAGGACTAACACTTCAGTCCAAAATGTTTCAGGCACCATGGCCACTTTTCCGAACAAGTATTGTGACTGTATTTATTTTGTCCTTGATTTTGAACAGGTGCAATGATACTACTACCACCTTAGCTCAGATTGGGTCCCAGTAATCAATGCTGAGTGTTAAAGGAAAAGCAGGTGCTAATAATCAGCTGGTGAGGGGTGAGAGCAGCAAACTAGTTAAAAGTGAGCTATATCAAATAGCTGTCCAGTGGATCCACTGTTGGCTAGAGTGGCACCTTCCCAAACTGGGGAGAGCCAACGAGGGGGGTACCGCAGGGTTTAGTCCTGAGCCCAGTGCTCTTCAGCATTTTCATTGATGATTTGGGTATGGAAGTGCAAAGAATGATTATCTTGCAAATGACACAAAATTGGGAAGGATAGCTAATACCCTGGAAGACAGAAGCAAAATTCAAAGTGATCTTGATCGTTTGGAGCACTGGCTTGGAAGTAACAGTGTAGAAGTAGGGACGAATGCCAGGTTCTGCACCTTGGGAAAAGAAACCAAATGCCTCACTACAAGATTTATGTATTATTTATTTATCACAGACATTTATATCCCGTCCTATCACCAAGCACTTACAAAATATAAACATACAATATAAAACATCAGTTATTAAAACAATAAAAAACACATCACAAACTTAAGAAAAAGGAGGAAAAAATAGAAAGTGCGACTTGTGAAGGGAAAATCCTAAAACATCTAAAACTGTTGGTAATTAAAATAATGGTCGAATAAAAAGGTCTTCCGGAAAGAGTATAACGTTGGTGCTAGGTGGACCTCTCTGGGGAGCAGATTCCATAGTCTGGGTGCCACTGCGGAGAAGGCCCTCCTCCGGGTAGACACCCTCCGTACTTCCTTCAGAGAGGGTTCCTGGAGCAAGGACTCCCCCGCTAATCTTAAGGGGCGTGAGGGCTTGTAGGGAAGGAGGCGATCCTTCAGACATACTGGACCTAAGCCATTTAGGGGAATTTAGATGGGGAATTCTTGGCTCAAGGATACCGCAAGTGAGAAGGATCTTGGAATTGTAGAGCACAAGATGAATGAGTCAATAGTGTGATGTGACTGCAAAAATGGCAAATGCTATTTTAGGCTGTATAAATAGAAACATCACTTTCAAATCATCTAAAGTGCTAGTTCCCCTTTACTCAGTATTGATTAGGCCCTGCTTGGAATACTGTGTCCATTTCTGGGTCCCACTGTTTAGGAAAGATGCAGATGAACTGGAAAGGGTTCAGAGGAGGACAACAAAGGTGATCTGAGGGTTGGAAACAAACCCTATGAGGATTGGTTGAAAGAATTGGTCATTAATGATGCCTTACCTCTGTATAAGGTAGGTTGAGCATTAACACATTATGTATGTTAATGGAATGTTTCCCCCCCTCCAGCCAGGCCACTGAATTGATGTGCAGTTTCCTCTGGACAAAGCCAACAGGTCTTAGCATTTTTTGTGACATGAACTACAGATTAACACGGTGATGTTTCTGCACATTATTTTCTACATGTGGGATTTCAGAAATTTATTTTTAAAATGGGAAGATTTCATCCTGCTGATAGAAACGTGTACCTCTTGTGTTTTGAAAAGATTGACAAGAATGATGTCAGTTCTGAAAAATAGGATTGACATCTCTTAGCTGTTTTCTGTTCCTCTTAAGCTCTGTTCATGTCTAGCTGGTGATATTGGCTAGGAAAGCTGGGAGCATCCAGCTTAATTGGAAGGTACCAGATCAAGCGAACATTTTCTGTGCATTTTTAAGAGGCCAGAGGTCTTGTTGCCATACAAAATGTGAGCAAACTGCTTTCTGCACCAGAGCAGAATTCAATTGATGAGAAGCTGGGGTTCAATGATGGGTTGGGCAAAATACAACTCCCTCCCTCAAAAAACTCTCAGGCTGTTTTACCTTTAAGCTGTTCCTGCCAAAAGCTTTTGTGAGAGCACTTTTTAGAATAGGGAATAATAAGGAAGTGAGACTCACTGGAGAAGACAATCCCACTAAGGAATGTTGAAAGCAGAAGAAAGCCACCAGATGCGAGATGGATCAATGGAATCCAGAGCCTTAAATTTACAAGCGATGAGCGGGGCTGTTGCGGATAGGAATTCGGAGGGTGTCCATTCACACGGTTGCCAAAAGTCAGAGACAACCTGAGGATGTAAAAACGTGGAAGGAATATCCTGCACAAATCCTTACACAGATGGAAGGAAGCCTCCAAAGGCAAGCCCCTGACGCTTAAGCGAACCGCCTCCCTTTCTGCTGGCAAGGCTGACGTCTGCGCAGGTGCAGGCCAGGGGCGAGGCGGGGGCAGGGGGGAACTCGGATCTCATTTCCCGACGTGGCCTTCCTGAAATTCCCTAGGTCGGGCGGCTACACCGCCCGAGCTGTACCGCCTTTCCTCCAGATACAGCGCGTTTGGAGGAAACTCCCATTTCTGCAGAAATTTCCCCTGCCCCGATTCTGGAAGGCTGACGTTCCTCACCTGCCTGCCCCACTGGGTCAGGCCAGGGTTTCATCCAGTGCAGCGTCACCTTCGCGGGAAGGTCATGCGCCGGCTAGGCGTGCAGGAGCACCCTCGCACCCATGTTTCCCAGCAACTGCTGTGTGCAAGCGTGCCGCCTCTGACCCTGAGGGTGGCATGCAGCCTCCCGGACCACCGGCATTGCTAGCTGCCTTCTCCAGAAACGTGCGCACCGTCTGAGATTGGAACAGTGGGCGCTGTCCTCCACTTTGGGGACAAAGATGGGCTCACCTACAAGCAGGAAACCAGAGAGAACCTGCTCGTGTGAACCGATTACACGTGATGCTGTACGTTCTGGAAAGCCGCGCTGGCGGAGATCGGGTGCGGCCAGCCTGCGCCCCCCACCCCTTAAGCATTTGATGAAGCCCAAGCCTGCTCACAATGGCCGCCCGCGCGTTTATCCTTTTCTGATATGAATAAGCAATGCAGACGTAGTCCATTTCTGCACTGCCCAGCCCGTTGGACTGCCCAGGAGCAGCCTATCCTCGAGGAACTACACGCCCCAGCATGCAACTGGGGCATCTTCAGCCGTCCATAGCCGACTGACCGTAGAAACTACACACCCCACTGCGCATTGCGCGCCGTTAAGGAGTAGAACCTTGTACCTTCGCGGTGCATTCTGGGTCTTTCTAGCCTACCCGGCCTAACACTATTCCACTCAGTCGATCTGAACCGCAGTTAAGAGTAGTCTCGGAGAGGGGCGCATGCGCAGGGAAGGCCGGGTGTGACCCGCGCGTGCGCAATGGCGGCGCTGCTGCAGTGATAGGGGAGGGGGCGCAGCCGCCATCTTACCAGTTGGTGGAGGAGACCGGGGCGCGGAGCGAGCGGTCGTCGGAGCGGTGGCGGCTCCCGCAGGTGAGCTGGACTGGGCGAGGGTCGCGCCGGTGTGCCTGCCTGCCTGCCTGCCTGCCTGCCTGCCTGCCTGCCTGCCTGCCTGCCTCGTCTGTCCTCCGCTGCCGTTATGTTCCGTTCCTCCCACACTGCCTCTTTCCTAGAGATTGCCGCCGCCGGAGGGCTCGCCTTTTCCTCAGGATTAACCACAGTGGTCTTAGTATTGCCGCAATTTACATTTTTTTTTAATTTCATCCCTCTTCCTTCCCTGGAAGGGGTTCCGTTGGCGCGGGAGGGCTCGCCGTTTCCTCAGGGTTACTCTTAGTAGTAGTATCGTGATGCGGATTTGGCGTGATCCTTTCCTTCTTTCTCGCTGGTCGTGTTATTTTCGTCCTCGTTTGTTACCGCTCCGTCCTCCTTCCCGAGGGAAGATTCTCGTGGGCCGGAGGGCTTGTCGCTCGTTCCTCAGCAGAGCGGCGCCTCCTGGTGCGGGAGCGGCTCCGGGGTCTTGGGGGGCGTCGCGCCTGCCCTGCCTGGGAGGGGCTCGGCCCTGCCGGGTGTCCGAGCCGCGGCGGCCGCGGGCGGCGGGCGGAGGCCTTCCGAGGGGCGCGTGGAGCCGCGGCCGCCCTGGGCTGGGCGTCCCGGGGGCTGTCGCCGCTTGCGCTCTGCTCCCTCGGCGCGGCTCGTCATGAGATCTGGGGCAAAATAGGGCTCCTCTTCGGGTACGGATTGGCAGGAGAAAGGGGAAGGCCAGCGCATGGTGCTTCTGGGTGAGCATTGACTGTGTTCAGACGACCTGGTAACGTGAACTCGGGGGTTAGGTGTGAGCTTTTGCTGGATGAATTTCTGTGTTGTCTGGACCCAGCCAGGAGAGCAGGCTTTTGTCTGCACGAAAACAGCACATCGTTGGTTCTCTGCAGAGGTTGTTCATGCCATGGCTTGATATTTGGGCTGGGTTTGGGCAAGCATATAGTGCACAGTTCACCCACATTTAACCCTTCACTGTGGGTCACTGTGTTGCCTGAAACCAGCCTAGATCTGGTGGGAGAGAATTAAGTGGCTAAAGGTGCAGTTTTATATTTGGTGAGGCAGACAAGGCATACAACTGCCGGCATTCTTCTGGCCAATCTTAAAAAGAATGGCCTTCTGTGGAGAACTGAGGCTCAGAAGCATATAGGTATGTGTATTGTGGAAGGTGGTGGCAGGGGAAATGGAAGGGAAAACATGATAGCTGCTCCACATATTTTATTTATAATGCATACTGAATCACTTGCATGTCATCCTAGAAATTCTCAAGGTGAGGGGATGCTTCTCCTTCCTCCTGGCTTGATGCCAACTTGATTGTCCTCAAAGGTCTGTTTCAGAACTGTATTAAATACTGCTGTGTTCAAACTTAAACGAAACAGGAAAGATGCCCGTGTTTATGATTCTTTACCTAGGACCTGCTCAATGTAATAAGAGTTTTGGCTTCCAGGTCTATGAGATCTGGACTTCAATTCCCTGCAAGTATGGCTCCCCCCTATGTGGGATTGGGCCCCAGCAAGATAAGACAGTATCAGCTGTGCTTGCCATAGCATTAAACAGGAAGAGAGACTTCCGGCATTTCTGTAGCCTTGGTACACTGGTGTTAGACATATCAATATATTTTGCTGCTGTGCAGTTGGAGTTTGCACATTTTTGCATCCCATTATTTGCACTGTAAAGGTGTGACGGTATTGTACAGGTTAGATAGGTGCTTGATACAAAAAATGAGAGATTTACTTAAAATCTGAAAATGTATTCAACCGATCTGGCTAGATGCCAGGAGTAACAGACTTTGGCCGCAGTTGTCCACATGCTGTTGGCCAGGATTGTGCAGAGCAGTATTTCCTCGGGGAGGAAGTATGAACTGCTGCCAGTCCTGTGTCCATAAAGCTTAAGTGATTTAGCCCCAAAGGAAGCTCCAGTCAGTTACCAGCAGGTGTTTGTGCGTAGAGGGGGGGGTGCATATAGTTGGCAAAATCTCGCCTAGCCTCTACATTTAGGTTGGTTGGTAGCTACCTGCCAGCTTGGAAAAACTGTCATAGTGACAGGAAAAATAATGTGCAGTAAGTCATTCTCTTCTGAGCCAGCCTTGGATTGACTTGCAAATATCTGCCTCATTTCTCTCTTCCCCAAGTGGGAGGCAGAGGCGAAAGCTGTCATAGCACTGTACTGTGGAAATACTTTCTTCTTACTGTCAGATGTAGCTCTTCAGAGGAAGATGCAGGTCTCATACGGCTGCTTTGTACTGTTGTCAGTGCTCACTGTAACAGCTCTCTTGATTCTGGGTAGCTTGAGGGTGAGTATGACTTGCCACAGGTCACTAGGTGAATCGTTAAATTTTAAGGCTACCTTATGTCACTGATAGACAACTGCACAAGTTCAGTAGGCTAAGTGGTTTAGAGCTCTACAGCAGCCAGTTTATTGTGCAGTCAATTCATATTCAGCTGGAAAGCTTATTCAGGCAGTCTTCAGATTTCCTTAAAATCAGGAGTATAGACCCCAAGTGTGTAGCAATGTTACCACATGGTCTAGTTAGGACATTTACTCACAAGAAAACATTCTAGAATATGGGGCTGTTTGCATTGCTTTCCAGTGTAGCTTCTTTTTGAGTGATCTGGACTAGCTTGCAGTCAGTTGTCATTCATGGAGGATAAGGTATATGTCCAAATTCTGTAAACCTCCTTTTTTTCCTGGAATGGCTTTATCCTTTATCTTAGGCCCTTTGCAGTTAATAAAGACCTGGACTGAGAGGGGATCCTTGAAAGGGAAGATATGGGGCCAGGGTCCGAATTTGCTTCTGCTGGCCTCTGGCCTTTATCTTTCAGGACATGCCTTTCTGGCATAATCTTGTATAATCATAGCTTTCAGAAAGAAGGCATTCTTGGAACCATAATATGAAGAAACACTAGTGGTGACTTTTTTTAGAGGGTAGGTAAATTTCTACCAATTTTGCGCTTAAGTTTGTCCAGATGTCTCTAATCTTCATGTGGGTGGTGGGGATCTGCAAGAGCTATTACTCACTTGGGGAATATTGCTAAAAGGAAAAAAAGATCATGGCAGTGACTCTGGCTGCATATAAATGATGGTGACCTGTGCCAACTCTTGAGATGCTGCATGTCTTGCGTTACATTACTTAAAATGTACTCCAGTGGCACTTTATGTAACTGTATAAATATTAACTGATATGACAGCCTGTTATAGCCCCTTCCCATGCATTGTTCTGTGATGAATAGTGTTTTTCTATCCATTTATGTGGATACTTTTTAGCCATAAGTCTTTGTTAGAACCAGCATAATCATTCTATGAAACTGTTATATTTTTGAATAGAATAGCATGCCTTGGTGCAGTAACTTTTACCAGTTGTTACTTATGTCTCAAGCAACTCAGCTTATGAGTTATTGCTGGTTTTTCTCATCTCTGGAGAGAGGAAGAGGGTGCATGCATATACAGCATAACTCAGTCCTCCTATGTGCATACTAAAACTCATAAAAGGAGATCTCTGTAAGTATGATGTTTAATAGTTACTATGTAAAATATTTTGCCCAATTAGAAAGAACAGTAGAGCACTGCTAAGTCAAATCAAAGACCTCTCTAATGTTGCATGTTTCCCTTAGTAACTAACCAGAATTTCTAGAATACTCAAAAGCAGGACATGAAAGTAGTGTCTTTTCCCTGTGTTTTCAAATTACTGGTTTTTAAGGCCATACTGTTGCTGATCATGGAAATAACGCAGAGCTGTTATGACTAAAAGCTACTAAGAACTGTCTCCTCCATGTCTTTATCTTCCCCATTCAAAGTTGCAGGCAGTCACTGTGTCCTTAAGGCAGCAAGTTCCATTGTTAAAGAATGCACTGTGTGATTACTACTACTTGTCTGGATGATGCTGTGCTCTAATATTATGAGATGGACACCCCCTCTTCTTGTCTACTGCACACCATACATAATTGTATAAGCCTGTTTTCAGAGACAGCTGACTGTTCCTATTTCTCCTCTGAAGGCAAGTGTGTGCTGGCAGAATTCCTTGCCTGTCAGGTTCCACCTGAGGCGACTCGGAACTTACGGAAACTTCTGCTGTCTTCCAGTGTGTGGTAGGATTATCCTTGGTTTGAATGTTAAGTTTGGGCCTTTGAGGAAACAAGAAGAGGTCTCCACGTGCATTAACCTATAAATCAGCATATCTATAATTTTTCATCATTTGGGCCACATGAAGAGAACAACACAGAATATGTGCTTTAGTGAGAGAGAACACAAAAAGCCTGCTTGCATATAGGTATATGAAGTGCTCTTAGGCTGGGTGTGACTCCAGCTGTCCTTCAGTTGTTCATTAAAGTGACAAACTCCAGGCTCTAAGCAGAAAATTGGCTTATTAAGCTGCTTTAGTTTAATTGTCAGAGCTAATTTTCTTCCTGTTTCAGCTATTTGTATATGTGGTAAATCTTGCAGGCCACATCTCAACAAGGCTGGGACTCTTGCCTACTTTGTGGAAGGATTGTGGTTTATACATAGCAGTAGGGGGCTGTAGGAACAGTTAACAGCAGTCATCGGAATCCTGCTGCATGTCCTGCCGTTTTCGGCTTCTCTGCTGCACAGCCCATTGTTTTGTTTGATGAGCACAAGTCAGACCAATTTCATAAGTAAGAATGGCTGAACCTGGATGACTTTGCTTTAGGTTGGGGGAAGAAAGCGTGTTGCTGTGCTTGGCAGCCTTAAGGCATCCCATCACCCTGCGACAGAAGATGCAAATGTGTCTGCAGTTCTCCTAAGCCTGAGCTGTTGCAAGGGTCTTCAAGCTATGACTACATCTCCCTGTTTCTGCAAGGCAGCTAGATTTTTTTTTTTTTTTAAACTCATACCCTGTTTGATAGCTTTCTGGCCCTACAACCAATTTGCTTCTGGTTTTGCCATGCTTTCGCTTTCCCCAGGTGGAAAAAAAGCCAGATTCCTTAAAATCTAGACACATATTAAATTGCAGCAACCAATTAGCATTCACTCTGTGTGAT